GACTGCGACCGTACTTGTAGGAGGAGTGGCCGTTACCTCGAGGAGAGCCATAAAATACCTAGGGGTCTGGCTGGACACAAGGCTCTCGTTCCGGGAGCACCTTGAGTACGCCCACAGGAGGGCGAGCGAGACGACGAGAGCCCTATCGCGGATGCTCCTCAACATCAGAGGCCCGAGGCAGGAAAGGAGAAAGCTCATCACTAGCGTAGTGAGCTCCCAAATCCTCTACGCCGCCCCAGTGTGGGCCGAGGCGATGGGAGTAAGGTCCTATGCGCGGGGAGTCGAGGCAGACCACCGCCTCTGCGCGTTACGGATATCCTGCGCCTTTAGGACGGTATCGGACGACGCGGCCCTAGTGATCGCAGGGCTGATACCCATCAAAGAGCTGGTCCGAGAAAGGAAGGAGCTGGCCAACATGGCGCAGGACAGCCTTTCTTCAGTGTCGGTCAGGAGGAGGGAAGTGAGAGCCACAAGTCTGACAAACTGGCAGCGGCGATGGGAGGAATCTTCCAAGGGACGCTGGACGTTTCGGCTCATTCCGGACGTGGGTAAGTGGACTGATAGGAAGCATGGCCAGGTAGACTTCTACCTCACGCAGGCCCTTAGCGGCCATGGGTGCTTCCGAAGCTACTTAAAGCGCTTTGGCCACGAAAGCGAGGACTTTTGCCCGTCGTGCGGCAGTGGAGTCACAGAGGACCCTCTCCACGTCCTCTTTGAATGTAGGAGATTTGTGGAGGATCGCCTAACCATGGAGGAGATCCTGGAAGAGCCCTTCACACCCAGCAGCATGGTGCCGCTAATGCTGCAGACGCCGGCGAAGTGGGAAGCCATAGCCGTATATGTGGCCAAGACCATGATGGAGTTGAGAGCCCTGGAGAGGGCACGTAACGGGCGGGAGGAGTAGGGCGTCAGAGTTGTGCGAAGCATTGCTTCACGGCCGTACCGCACGACTTAGGTCCAAGCTCTTGCAGCCCAGTCAGGGAAAAGAAAAAATGTACAGTAGATCTATAAGATAGTTTGTAAGGAGCGAATAAATAATACACCGTGGAATATAAAAAAAAAAAAAACACTCGTCTCTTCTCGTCGTCTGGACAAAATGGTGCTCGCAAACTCAATCCGATTCCGAATTGATCTGTGTGGGCACATCCTCCACCTCCCAAAATTTGGTGAGGAGTCACCGAGGCTACGGGCAACTCGTGAGGAAAAAACGAAGCACACCTGCACATCCGACTGATCCTCTGAGCCGTTTGTGCTTCTGACAGTTTGTGCGGGTCGAGCTCTTGCTGGAGTAGGCAGACTTGGAGCGGTAGCGAACGGATTGCCGACGGTGCAGGAGGGCGTGGTGTCGGCTGTGGCATGTGAAGCAGGTATGGGCGCTCGCGCTGCTGGTGCCCTCGGGCAAAAGAGTTCAAGCATAACTGCTTCCTCTTAATGTAGTCGGAGCGCCCGCCCACGTTCATTTCTAGGAAACTCGGACATAAGCGGATAGGGTGGTTCTCCCTCGAACAGAGATCGCATCCCTTTTGGCCCGGAGCCACTCGAGGAAGTCCCGACCTAGGCGGAGATTGCCCGGAGCCACTAGGCCTGACGTAGTCGATGGCCTCCAGAGTGCGATGGCGCTCTGTCAGGAAGTTATCTAATTCCTTCCATGTTGGAATTTCGGCCTTATTATGTACGGATTGCTCCCACATAGAAAGTGTGACCTTGGGGAGCTTCGAGGAAATCATAAAAACCAGGAGACAATCCCAAGACTCAACATTGATGGCGGACATTTGTAGGGCTGTCAGACAACTCTGAATGGCGGCAGTTCCCTCAGAGCGACCCCGGACTCTGGAGAAATAGCCTGGAGGTTGAAAAGGATCTTCAACTGGCTATTGACCAATAGCCGCCGGTTCTCAAAACGGTCTGAGAGGCTTTTGCTTTGTTTTGGACAGCAAGTGGAACAACTTCTTTACCGGGGTGAGCCGCGAGTTTTGGATGTAAACGGCCGCAAACAAGTCTCTAAAGGTGGGCCCCCGAAGGTAATCACCCGCAAAGACCTCGGTATCCACTGGAGGTAACCGGCAGCCTGTAGACGCGGGCGTGTGGACATTGACGGAAGCCTGAGTGGATTGGGAGGCAATTTTCTCCCGAAGCTGGGCAATACACCTCGAATATACGGAGTAACAGTAGCTGTACTTCGATTCCAGCACTGCTGAGGTGGCCGAATTGTCGTCGGACACGGCTAGCAAATCGGAGCAGCTCTCATAGCACTTCTCCACCTTCTCCCAGAGTGCCCGAATTTGGTCTCGATGGACTTCGCACATGTATTGGGAGCCTATTTCCGTTTCTGGGGCGCCCGGGGTATTGATGTTGGCCTCAAATTGGCTAATTCGATCTGTTGTAGCGATGAACTTTTTCAGCGCCACTTCGACCGCACTTTGAGCCATTTTTACAACGGAGCGAGTCTGCCTCTGTGAAGGATCGGGGATTGTATTGACGTTTTCGCCACTCTTTGCCCTTGGAATGGCCCTGGTCGCTTTAGGCTTCAAAAGAGGCGTCCGCGGAGATGCGGATTGAGATCTGTCCAAACTGATGACTGTGGGCATTCTCAAAAATTAATTCGCTGGTCAGCGCTTGTCGACTGACTTGCGCAATAGGGGCCTCGTTCGAAGCGGTGGCTGGTCACACTAAAGTGATGAGAACGGTGAGATCGCGGATGGATTGCGATCACAAGGAACTAGTGGGCACTAGCGGCGCCGATGTCGAAAGGAAGATCGTGTGCGGCACAAATCGAATGTGAAAACAAAACTTCAGGAACCAAAAAAAAACAACCCAATAGTATACGAGGTTTGTTGAGATTGTAGGCGGATGTTGCCTGATGCGGAGTAGAAGCTGCGCTAAAGGCAGGGAGAATGGACAAGTAACGTTCGTAATTCCCCCCAAAAGAAAAAAAACAGCACCAAAAAAAACAACACGGCTACTGAGGCGGCGAGGTTGAGAACTTAGGCGACACAATCACGGATTTGTAGTGTAATGGCGGTTTTTTTTATTTTTAAAGAGATTTTATTTCAGTTCAATTTTGTCATGTATTTATTTCCTGAAATTGGAGGCAGAAAATATATGGCATGCATGCAAGTATGTATATATGTAAGTATATGTATGCACGTGAGGCCCAGGTTGGAACAGTGGACTGTGGACTGTATAAATGGAGGAACAGAAAGCTGTGTGGTGTAAAAAAAAACACTGATTGGGGAAAAAAATATTACGCCAGCGGCGGACTGTGAAATGAATTTAGGAATTTTTGGAAATAAATCACACCGGCTGGCCAATATTAATTATGTCTTATTTTTGTCACCACACAATTTCACTGTTCACTTGGTCCCTTGGGCTCCCGGACTTGCCTATATTTGGAGGGCAGCCCGAGTATTGGCCCATCTTTAATTGTGCATTTGTGGAGACGATCCAAGCGTACAACTGCACGGACCTGGAGAACAACCAGAGGCTGTTGAAGGCGCTGAAAGATGAAGCACGCGAGACAGTGAAGTCGCTGCTGATTCACCCTGCGAACGTCAGAGCCGTGATGGAGCAGTTGCGCTTTAGATTTGGCCGACCGGAGCAGCTTATACGCAGCCAGCTGAACAGCGTGCGAGAGGTGCCGCCGATTACGGAGCAGAACCTGGCGAGGATCGTTCCCTTCGCAACTAGAGTAAGTAACCTCACGGCCTTCTTGCAGTCGGCGAAGGCGAAGCAACATCTGGGAAACCCCACCCTCATGGAGGAGCTTGTTGCAAAGCTTCCCACCACCCAACGAGTGGATTGGGCCATGTTTCCAAAGGATATGCAAGGAAGCTGCAGCCGGATGAGGTCGCGGTGAAGAGCGACAAGCTGTGGTATTTGCCACATTTTGGTGTGGAAAACCCAAACAAGCCCGGTAAGGTCCGGCTTGTGATCGATGCTGCAGCCAAGGTTGGAGGAACCTCACTCGCTGGACAAAGTGCCACAGCACTACAAGCCCTTGCCAGCTGTGCTCTTCTACTTTACAGAAGGAGCAGACGGAGTCTGCGGGGACATCAAGGAGATGTTCCACTAAGTGCTGATCCGACCCGAGGATCGATGTTCCCAACGGTTCCTCTGGAGTGATGGCAACGACGATCGAGAGCCGGATATATACGTAATGAACGTAATGACTTTTGGAGCCTGCTCGCCGAGCACTGCGCACTACGTCAAGACGGTGAATGCCCTGAAGTTTCGGGATTCAGATCCGAGGGCAGTCAAAGCCATCATCGACCACCATTACGTCGATGACTACGTGGATAGTTTCGATACGGAGAGCGAAGCTATTGAGGTATCTACCCGAGTGAAGGAGATACACGCGGAGGCTGGATTCGAGCTATGCCAGTTCTTATCCAGCTCACCCATCGTGGAAGCGGCGTTGGGACCACCTGGACAAGTCAAGAGCGTCGGATAGGGTGAGTCTGAGCAGAAAATCCTTGGAATGCGTTGGCAGGTAGCAACGGATGACTTCAGATTCAACGTGGAGAATCATCGAGTGCCAAAAAGCGTCCTAAGTAGAGAACGAGTCCAACCAAATAGGGAGTTTTTGAGCCTGCTGATGTCAACGTTCGACCCACGGCTGGAGCTGCAGGCAACGGTCCTTGGAACCAGAGTGATGAACACTGTCAAGGAAGAACACAGTGTGGATATCAGCGAGACGGTTTTATGGACGGATTCAAAAACGGTGCTGAAATGGATCGGCAGCACCCACCGCCGGTATAAGCAGTTTGTTGGCAACCGAATGGCGGAGATTTTGGAGTCGTCGAAGGTTTCCCAGTGGAGATGGGTACCTACAGCTGACAACGCAGCGGATGATGCGACCCGGTCGCAGAGCAAGGCGAACCTTAGCCCGGAATCCCGGTGGCTAAGCGGTCCCGCATTTTTGAGGCAGCCAGCAAGCGGCTGGCCAACGCCTGTGGAGCATGAGGACCGAGCATGTTCCAGATGCACCTGATGAAGAGGAGATGCCCGGTGAGTTCGCATTGGTAGCATCAAATGAATTTGTCATCCTGTTCCAGAGATTCTCGAGCTTCAGTCGCCTGGTGAGGACCACCGCCTGGGTCCTGAGGTTTGCGCGACGGTGCCGCAAACAGAGAAGCGAGCTCGAGGAATATGGACTCACTGCAACGGAGTGTGAGGCCGCGGAGAACCTGTTAATCAGGCAGGCCCAATTGGAGTCGTTTCCCGCCGAGATGAGGTCGGCGGAACGCGGAAAGGACGTCGCCAACTCGATCGAGATTAGAAGTCTGGCGCCTTACGTGGACAAATATAGAGTTCTGCGAGTTTATGGCAGAGTCGATGCCGCGCTGTCCATGCCGTACAGTGCGAGGAGGCCTGTGATACTGTCACACAGGCACAGTCTTACGGAGATGGTAGTAAGACACTACCACGCCCAGATAAAGCATCAAAACGTGGATGCGACGATTGCCCAGATCCGGACGAGATTCTGGGTCACGAAGATAAGACGAGTGCTGAAGGAGGTAACTTCGTCGTGCAACAAATGCAAGCTACAACGGACGTGGCCGATGCCGCCGATAATGAGACCCCTTCCAGAGGATCGCTTGGAAGCTGGAGGATGGTCATTCAAGTACACAAGACTAGACTACTTTGGGCCACTGCTGGTGACTGTTGCTCGTCACAGAGATAAGCGTTGGGTCGCCTTGTTCACATGCTTGACGACAAGGGCGATTCATCTGGAGCTGGCGCATGACCTGTCAACGGATTCCTGTATAATAGCGATCAGGAACTTCGTCTGCCGTAGAGGACCAGTACGTAAACTGCGGAGTGACAACGGCAAGAACTTCGTGGGAGCTGACATGGAGGCCAGGCGATTTGGAGACGTGTTCGAGACGGAAAGGATACAGAGTGAGTTATCCAGCAGGAGCATTGAATGGCTCTTTAATTGCCCATCCAACCCGTCTGAGAGCGGAGTATGGGAGCGGATGGTGCAGTGCGTCAAGCGAGTGCTGCGCCATACCCTGAAGGAAGTCGCGCCGAGGGACCATGTTTTGGAGAGTCTCCTAATAGAGGCGGAAAACATAGTCAATTTGCGTCCGCTCACCCACTTGCCAGTGGATGCGGACCAAAAGGCACCGTTGACGTCAAACGAACTGCTCAAGGGAGCAGCTAACCTGCCCGATACGCCCGGATGGGATGTGGAGCGGCCCAAGGAGGGTTCTACGCGAAAGCAGTGGAGGATTGCCCGCATGCTACGGGACCGCTTCTGGAGGAGGTGGGTCATGGAGTACCTGCCTACGCTTGTGCGCCGCGAGAAGTGGTGCCGGAGAACGGAGCCCATCCGCCAGGGCGATATGGTCTTCGTCAGCGATCCTGCCTTGCCCAGACGAGAGTGGCGCAAGGGCATCGTGGAGGAGGTATACAGCGGAGTTGATGGAGTCGTCAGACGCGCCACTGTGCGCGTAAATAATAATGGACTATCTTGGACAATGTTGCGGCACGTCTCTAAACTTGCAGTTTTAGATTTGAGTGAAGCGGGTCTTCACGGGGTCGGGGATGTCGACGGTCAAAACATTGTTATCGATAGTTAACTCAGTATTAATAGGAAATTTAGTATTTGTTAAGTTATCCGATTTTTGGCCCATTGAAGTACGGGCTTATTAATCGCGGTTATATGAATGCCTCCGAAAAGTGCCTTTTCACTTTCTTGTGAATAGTAGTAGGGCACCCTGCGGTAAGAAAAAGAGCTATATTTGACATGTAAACTAATTTAATGAATTTACAGAATAAAACGTTCCGTACGCCATAGCCATAGGCCTTTGAAGTTCACCTTTCTTTGGACCTACGCGTGGGGGGAGCCGTTTAAGGCAACTCCGCACTTCACAAGACGACATGTATATTGAAACATTGATACAAAATTTGTTTTTTGTTTGTTTTTATTTACAAACTAAGAATAGGACTATATACCAAAGAAGTGGAACATGAATATCATGAACAGTTTTATTTTAATTGGCTTTTCTTTTCGTTTTTATTTAATAAGTGATTAATAAATTGGATATTTTTTGTTGAAAATTTGACTTTTAATTTTTAAATATTACAAATTCAAATAAAGTTCAAACACATTAAAATAACTGCACCAGAGAACGTCAAGGGTGTCTTTTTTCGGCACCCGAATCACACTCATACATTTCGAGTGTGTGTCGCACTCATGAACAGCAAGAAAAGAGCACACACCCGGAGTGCACAGATCGCTTTGTGCGTTTAGGGTGTTTGCGTTTTTGACACCCGCTCAATTCTAGGCACATGATCCTAATGCACAGACACCCGACACACTCATAGCAAATGAAGCGAGTGTCTGAGACACCCATGTTTTTGGGAAAAGTGAGTCGGGTGTCTTGAAAATGAGTCGAGTGTCTTGAAATGATTCGAGTGTCTTGAAATGAGTCGGGTGTTTCGGGTGTCTTCGACTGATCTGAGTGTTTCGGGTGTCTTCAGCTGTATTGCATGAGCAGGTCATTGAGGGTTGACCGAATAATTTTACATGAAAGGAAGGAAGGAAATCCCAATAATTTAATCTTAGAAAAGTATATTTCTAATAATACAAATTATTGCCGTCTTCAGTAACCAATATTAAAAAATAAGAGTTTATAATCATTACAAGTATTTAATGACAAAGTCTTAAAAAACCCAAAAAAACGTACATTGCATCAATATTTTAGGATTTTCCGTGTTGTTATCAAACCATCTACCTGCAAATGTATTCCCGTTTTTTGCAGATGCGTATAAGAATACAGATCATAAGTCAATTGCACTGCGAATAGCAGGTAGATGGCCTGACATGGCAAATCCTAAAATATTTGGCCTTTTTTAAGGGACCATTATTGGGATTTCCTTCCTTCCTTTCATGTAAAATTATTCGGTCAACCCTCAATGACCTGCTCATGCAATACAGCTGAAGACACCCGAAACACTCAGATCAGTCGAAGACACCCGAAACACCCGACTCATTTCAAGACACTCGACTCATTTTCAAGACACCCGACTCATTTCAAGACACTCGACTCATTTTCAAGACACCCGACTCACTTTTCCCAAAAACATGGGTGTCTCAAGACACTCGCTTCATTTGCTATGAGTGTGTCGGGTGTCTGTTGAAAAGAGTACTGGGTGCGCAAGTGCACATTCAAAATGAGCTTGTGCAAGGCACACACCCTTATTTTAGGGTGCCGATCACACTCTGAGTGCCGAAAAGGCACACATGATTCGAGTGCGCTCATTGTCTGGGTGTACCCTTGCCGTTCTCTGAACTGCACATTTATTTATTTAAATCATCGATGTTTCATCGATGTTTTCGCCAAACACATCGAAAAAATCAATGTCCGTGAACATCGATGTTTCTCCACCTCTATTGCACATCGCTGATACGAGGGCCGTTTTACTGGTATTACTCGACACCAAGAAGGCACCTCCGACGTTAACAGAAGAAGATATATTTATTCTTGAACCTATCGATTAATAAATTAAATATTTTTTGTTGAAAATTTGACTTTTAATTTTTAAATATTACAAATTCAAATAAAGTTCAAACACATTAAAATAACTGCACATTTTTTTATTTAAATCATCGATGTTTCATTGATGTTTTCGCCAAACACATCGAAAACATCAATGTCCGTGAACATCGATGTTTCTCCACCTCTATTGCACATCGCTGATACGAGGGCCGTTTTACTGGTAGTACTCGACACCAAGAAGGCACCTCCGACGTTAACAGAAAAAGAGATATTCATTCTTGAACCTATCGATTAATAAATTGGATATTTTTTGTTGAAAATTTGACTTTTAATTTTTAAATATTACAAATTCAAATAAAGTTCAAACACATTAAAATAACTGCACATTTTTTTATTTAAATCATCGATGTTTCATCGATGTTTTCGCCAAACACATCGAAAACATCAATGTACGTGAACATCGATGTTTCTCCACCTCTATTGCACATCGCTGATACGAGGGCCGTTTTACTGGTATTACTCGACACCAAGAAGGCACCTCCGACGTTAACAGAAGAAGAGATATTTATTCTTGAACCTATCGATGGAACAACCATACCACCAGGAAATACATACTAGAGGTGGAGAAACATCGATGCGAACATCGATGACATCGATGTTTTCGAAACATCGGCAACGTCAATGTTTACCGGAGGCAGATCGATGTTTTTCCTTTTCTAAGGCACATTGATTGATTGACGAATTGTAAGTACATATAAATTAGAATGAGTCCCCTGGCAGCTTTCGTTGTGTCGTCAGCGGGAGGGGGTGTGCCAGGCCGGTAGTGTTCTTCCTTCCTTCGTTAGGGGTTGTGTAGCGCACCAGGCAGGTACGCCTAGCGGTCTTCCTTCACTTGTTGAGAGTTATGTAGGGAGGAACTACCTCCGTTATCGTTGGCCCTTAAGGCACAACAACCAATAATAACAAAAGTAATTTTCTGTATGACGGTGCCGGAATTCAAACTCAAGAGCGATGGCTCTGTCTTTATTGAGATTTCAAAATGAACTGAACTTAAAGCTAACATAAAAAGAGAATCATAGCGGCCACTCCAATGGGTAGTGCTTGCCGGCTATGCACGGGCTTCCGGCCAGACGCTGTATCAGCAATTTGGCCGGAGCGAACTCTCGGACAATCGGTCATTGCCGTCGTCCGGTTGACATAGTTAACTACTCCCCCTCAGGGATTAGGGCCGCCCTCGGCCGACCCTATTTGGGCGATCATATCCGCTATTTGGGACGTAGCTCTCCTGGCCTGGATGACTCGCCGATAGGTAAAACCGACGCAGATCAACGCGCAGCATATTGCTCCTGCTACCAGTACTATCTGATGTAAATGATAGTTATTGATATTCTCCCCGACTATTCTCCCTGATGTGTTCCAGATTACGCTCACTTAAGCGGTGAAGGTACGGAAGACTGAGGATGTTGTGTTCCATAGTAATGTTCAGGGAGGGCGAGTTGGCTACTCCTGGGACCCTTGTTGGAGCAGTAGATTAAGTTTTATTGTAAGTTTTAAGGAAAGATGAAAAGAAATAATTATTTGAATACGCAGGCAAAATGTAAACAAACCACCTTAAAAACCAATGTACAAAAGCTTATCAGTTTCACTCAATCTTGAGCACATCCGAGTTGTTGTGATCTAACTGATAAGCTTTTCAGTTCGTGGCTATGCGAAGTGTTATGCTGCTCTCGGGAGAACATTAACCGATCGAACCTCGAAGCAGCTGGCAGCAATAAACTTTGGAACCAACTTCGTTTCGTTTGTCTCGCTTTTTTTGGAAATTCCCCAGCCGCTAGTCGCAAGTCTTTTTTTTTGTTTAAATTTTTGAAGTAATTTTTCCGGGAAAACTCTCCCGGATTTTCATGGCGCCCGAACAGGGACTACGGCTAGTTTTGTTATTAATTTTCGCGTCGGAAAAACAATAAAAAAACAGTGCACCTCTCGTCGTCTCGGCATCTGTTTAGTTTTTTTAAATTTGTTGGCGAAAATTCTTGCTGGTGGAATTCGGCGAAGCAGTGAAGTGTTGGCGAAAGCAGTTGGATGCGGAAGGAAAGTGCTTGGAAAATTATGCCTAACAACAACCAGGTATTCAGTGCCAAAAATTAAAATTTGTGAGCACTCCACTTTATGTGTGTATGCGTGCATTTTACATAGTATTAATTCTTGGCACCTTTATATTAAAAATATTATTACACCCCAAATATACCCTAACTTCCGAATAATAAAATAAAAAAGTGAACTGCCTTTGACAAAACTTACGGTGTTTTAAATTTTGCGAGAATTTGAAAATTTTATGTGCGTTATATACATACGCTGCAACTTGAAAAGTACAGCTATATCTACATACATATGTACAAACATACCAGCGTTTCGCCGCCAATTTCGGTTCCCTTTTGTGCATTTGCAGAGCAGTTATTTGTCTGCTATATATAAGTGTCAGTGGCTTCTATGCTGTACATATGTATGTACATATGTAAAACAATACATCGGTTAATTTTTAGCGCCAATTGCAGCGGCAGTGGTTTTCAAACTGTATATAGCCAAAAGTCCCTACAAAACTCGGCAGTGAATTTAAGCCCTGATCACAGTTTTATGTTTATATGTACATATTTGCCTGCATATTAATTCGGTAAATATTCAAAGATTCGGCCTGGAGAAAAAATTTAATACATTTGTTGGTTTTTTTTGCCGGTGGTTGTGGGCATCTTTAACCCGTATGGGATCCACTTAAATAGTTTGGACAATTTATTTGTCAAATGAAATTCAACATTTGTGCATTTTTCGGCTTTGGTTAAACGGCAAATACACATACAAACGTATTTTGTGCATTTTGGTGGTGCTTCTGCGCACATTTAACCCCTTATCCAACCCAATAAATTTTTTTTGGAGAAATTAATTTGTTTAATTTTTAAAATTTAAAATTTAGATATTGTTGGAAATTTATTAAGGAAGCATTTGAGCATTTTGGAAATAAATTTATTCAACCCTTGTGTCCGACTGGTTTTACTTGGAGTATTTTATTTTTTTTATATTAACCT